AATAGTACTTTATAATGGAATATACTTTGAAAAGCAACAGCCCAAACCAGTATCTATTACATGGTTTATCTATATCTATATATCTTACCAGCCCACATATACCAAATCCTGCTGGGGATTAGCAAGGTGTAAAAAGAATAAAACACAGCAGTTAAACAAGCTGGAATGCCTGAAAGCTTGAGACAGTACAGCATGTTTCTTCTTTATATTGGAGAATAATGAAAGCAAAAAGCAGGCATTCAGAAGTAGAAAAATAAAAGTAATCATGATCTTGCCCATCTCAATTAGCCTAGTGGAGTCTGTCATACAGACAGAAGTACAATCCACCACTTGAAATACTCTAACAAAGTACTACAGGGGTTGTTCTGCATGAAAAGCCCAAGTGGGAGTACTGTCTAAACAGTACAGCTCAACTAGTACTGAATAAAGTGTGTATACAAAGTAAAATTAATACAATTTTGCAGGCACAGTCACTGTTATATCATTATACAATAATTATTTGGAATATTTCCATCTATCAATAATGCCATCTGTCCCACCCAATACAAATGGACTACAACCCATCTGGCTTATTTTTTTCTATTGATTACTCTGCTGAATGAGTTAGCAAAACTGCTTATAAAATCATCATATTACTTGACACTGTCATTAAAGGATGTGAAGTAAAGAAAAACACAAGATGAGACTTAATTGGAAAACTGTCAGTTCTTCTTCCAGAAAGTTTTAGCAATGCTATAAGCTGCTTTTTTTTTTTTTTTTTTTTTTTGGTACTTCAGAAACAACAAAAAAACCACCAAACAAAGAAAAGAAAATAAAGACCCAAAACTATAAATGCAAACTACTGGATTAGGCAGAAACTATTCTACCACACAATTGTTACTATTTCCAACTAGTTATCTTTGAGAGGTTCCTTAAATCTACCTTCTCAAAGAGTGTCAGAATGTCCCAAAGTGTGCCTGGGAATCACAAAGAAACTGTGGAAGGAGTGTAACTTAAAAATGGGGTGAGCGGAAGCCGCTGACGGCTGGCACTTGTATTTGTTAATTCAAATTATTCTTCCTAGGTTTTGGCTTTGATTAATAGTTTGCATAATTGTCTTTATGCCATTTTTGCAGCCTCTGTTTTTAGTTTTGTTTTTAATTACTGCTTCCCTCAAGTAGACTTTAATTTCTATAACTGCAGCTTGTTTTTTCTTTTGATTTTAACTGCTACTTCCCTTAATTATATTTTAATTTCTCTGACAACCTCTACTTAACAACAATGTAGCCTTATCAATCCACAGCACTTAAACGCTTACCTTGGCTCACTCAGTCTAGATCTTAGTTCCCATAATAAATACCCTTTTAGTTTTAACAAAGGAAATCTCTCTTCTATACATTCAAAATATTTATCCAGAGATCTTTTCATTAGCCCAGTGGTTGAGTTTTGTTTTTTTTCTGAGTGAGATCTTGGGGCTGCTTTCTTATCCTTCCGTCCCTCTGATTTTTCCTTTCTACTACAACCTTCCATCCCTCCACCAGATTTCTCCTTCCTCTGTCACCCTGAATAGCTTCTCCAATTAAACTGCAGTTCAAATGGACATAGGAAGGAACAAGAAAGAGGGATGGGCCTGGATTCTAATTTTGGAAACACAACCCTTGATGGCTGTGGATAACTGGAGCAGAGAGAGGCAATGCTCGAGATTATACTGAAGGGGTGGGGCTGCAGAGAATGGTGCTAGGAGCATAGATACTGAGCTGCCATCTGGAATACGGGAAATCAGGATGACAGCAGAGGAAAGGACGGTGTTGGAAGCAAGGCATGATGCTGGAATAAGGAAGGGGCCAGAGGCTGGGTGACTGAAACAAGTCAGATTGCTAGGGGGACCAGCCTGCTTACTGTTACTATTTTCTCCCTCTCTTACAGTCCCCTGTCATCCTTGATGCTCACTAGAGCAACTCCTCTGATTATCAGTGAAACATCTGGGTAATTCTGAAACATACTCAATTTATCTTTCTCTTCATAATACAAGAAGTTCCTAAAAGACAGTTGTCACTGTCCATAATACACCAAGAACTCCTCTAAGGTCCATGTAAGTGTGTCCTACCCTGCAACCTTATCTCAAAGGAAGCTTTGATCAACTCTGTGCTCACATCCTGCTCTTAGAAGTAAACCTTTTGTGTTACATAAACACATTCAGAGAACAATTCTCACACTTCTCTCTATATTATGTTCTGTTTGGTCAAATTTATTTGTGTCCTAAACCACTTCAACAATCCCTTTTGTGCTTTAAAAACTACTGACACCAAATATGTAGAAATATTCAAACTGGGTTTTTAAATAATATTATTTATGTATACTATATTTCAGGAAATCAAGAGGACTTTAAAATTTTTTGGTGCTCTGAAAAAAACTTTTGGACGGTATGACGCAAATGATTTAGCCACTGTGTTAAAGTCAATACCTCAATCTTAATATACCTTTGCTTTGTTACGAAATAATGAACATTCAACAAACAAGAGTCTAAAATCCATCTTTAAAACATAATTTGTTCTATGGTTTATAATGCCTAATTTACAGGAAATGAGTTCTGAGCTGCATTATTTTGTTTGCAGAAACAAACTCCTTTTTCCATGGATAACAGAAACTGAACAATTTCAACTGAGACACCATTTGTTCTTATTAAGTAATCTGTAGGTTGCTATTGATTCAGGCCTTTGGCCACTGCTTGAAATACAGTTCAAGAATAACAAAATACTTTTGGTTTGGCTGAATTAGTTTAATAGCAGAAACTAGACCATTATTTCATGTAATGTCATGATTCAGAACTGCTTGCAGTAGTTATGGGATACCAAAAAATAAATGAAACCACACAAGTATGGGATATGCTACTTGGACTTCTAAATACAGATGCCTTCAAAGTAAAGCTACTGTATCTGACTTCCAGACACAAAGGCAGCATCATAGAGCATCCAATGGGCAGCTCCAAAGAAAATTTTTCATGAGACGTAAAAGCTACATTTCCTGTTTTCAACTATTCTATGAAATAACTGAGGGAGAATTACAACTGTTGTACAGTTTATCAGTAACTTTACAGAGTTCTTCCAAATGTGAAACTTAATTGAGTATTTTCCTTACTCTGACAGGAAAGGAACAATTCTAAAACCTGCTGGAAAGTGCTTGTCCTTCAATACAAAATCTATTTCTATTAACAGGACAATTGTATTTTCAGGGCAGGACAATTCCTCCCTCTGGTTCCTTGTAACAGAAGTGTGTGACACATCTTTATCTCCGCTTTGCTGTGTATACAAAACCTTACTAATAAAAAAAGTATGCAGAAGCGGAGGAAAAATTCAGTTCCTCTATCTGAACCTCCTATTGACATTGAGAAATTTATAGGGAAATTGAAATATCTGGCTACTACTAACATCTCATTCCTAATGATATTTTAATTCTTTCCAAAGCATTTTTTTATCATGTTGTGGCACACATTACTTCACCTGCTAATGTTTTATTGCTCTTTCTGATACTGTCATTAATTAATACGATCAGATAAGCACATCATAAGACTGATGAACACCCTCTAGGATTGCTTAATGCTCCTCTAGGGTGGTTTTTTTCTTAAACATTTCTGAAAACTATTAGGTGGCTAACTCTTCATAGATTTATGTGTAGGCAGCAATAAATTTTTAAGCTATAGCTTGAACAATTCAAAACTGACATGGGCCAGAATATCTGGGGATATCCCAAACAGTCTCAGAATATCCCTAAAGCAAGAAAGCTCATCAATATTTTTCAGGTAGCTAAGAAATTACTGCCTAGTCATCTCAGTATGTGAAAGAAATAAAAGACTTAATAAAAAGTGGCTGGTATGTGTAATAACTACAGAAGACCTAAAAGTTTCTAGCTGGGAAAAGCAAAAGTTTTAAACTGGCAAACACCACCAATCTGTCGTCATATCCTATCTATTACAAATAAGAAAGCATGTAGGCATTATGGTCATGGTATATGTCACAATCACATAGCAAAAAACTGGATTGAATTAAAAAAAAAATCTCAATTTCATTCAGATTCAACACACTTGGTCTTGGTGGAGTAATAAACACTATTTAAGAGGGTCTTTCATTAATAAGTCAAAGTTGAATGTGTAAGCTTCTAAGTAAAGCACAGGACAAGTACCTAGAACCAAGACTGAAAGTGAAGGCAAATACAAGAAAATTTTGAGGTATATTTTCCCTTATTTTATGGCAGTATTAACATATGCTGTGTTTTCCAGCCATGTATTTCCCTGAGAAACTGTAATAATTATGTTATATTAAATTATATGGCAATTATGTGGTTACTTTTTAAACTTATTTGTGGAAGTTATGTTTTATTTACAAGATTTGTGGCCATTATCTTTTTATTGCTTGCAGGGTGTTCTGTGGCTGTTTAAGAAAAATGGTACATAAATAATTTAGATTATTATGGCATTGTTATAAATCACTGTGCAAATTATACTGTTAGAGATAATCTATGGTCAATCAATAGTCAAGCACGCCCTGATCTGGTCTTAAAAGTTCAGGAGAACAATAAGCAATAATGAGCAGTAAAAGCTGCTAAACTCAGTTGTCATGACAATATTGGCTGTAAGAAAAAAGTGGGGAAAAAATGCTCAACAGAACCACCCACAAAAAGTTGAAGTAGAATGTCCAGTTCCTATTATGTAAATATGTATGGGCAGAGGTAATTCAAATAAGGTATTATTCACATTTTTGTTGGGAGGAATTGACTGCTCCAAAAGAGTTCTTTAACATGTTGTTTTGGGGAATTAAGACCAAGTTAGTGATGAATATAACTTTCTATTAAGCAATTTTCTTTCTCAGTTGTGCACAACCACTTAGGAGCCAGAACACAGCAGCTCAATCAAACCTTATTATATCAGCTTTGCTTGAACCCCTCTGAAACATTCTGAGAAAGACAGTACAATACTTAGAACAAAAAAGACAACCCAGAAAGAAGGAAATGGATAACCCAGCTACCTTTTTACATTCTTGTAATTTCTTCCGCCATACAGAGCGAGCAATAGGAATGTGCTTCCTGTCAGTTACATAGCAGCTGGCTGTGATGACGTGGTGGAGCACAGTCTTCTGGCTCATAGCTTGAAGAATTCGCTCAACATGTCGAATGGAAACTATGGCCTCAGTCTGTATGCCACCACTAACAAGCTGCATCGTACAAGGTACTAGAGCAATCTGTCCAGAACAGTAGAGCACATCTCCAACCTAGAGGAAAATAAAAATAAGTAAATAAGATTCTAGGAGTGTACGGAAGACAATGGAAGGACTTTTTTTTCCAGAGAGTTTCTTCCAATAGTACTGTCCTTTGCCATCACTTGCCACAAATGGAGGAAATATGACAGTTTAACTAGATTCTTTTTGATAGGGATTTAACTGCAATATAAAAACACAGCACTGCAATAAAATTTAACCTAGCAGTTAATACAGGTATGTTGTGTCAAAAAAATAATATCTGATGTTACTGACTGTTACAGCTGCTGGATCAGACTGATGCCCCAATCACAGAATCACAGAATATTAGTGGTTGGAAGGGACCTCTGAAGATCATCTAGTCCAACCCCCCTGCCAGAGCAGGATCACCTAGAGCACATCACACAGGAACGCGTCCAGGCGGGTTTTGAATGTCTCCAGCGAAGAAGACTCCACAACCTCTCTGGGCAGCCTGTTCCAGTGCTCTGTCACTCTCACAGTAAAGAAGCTTTTTCTGACCTTGACGTGGAACCTCCTATGTTCCAGTTTGCAGCCACTTCCCCTTGTCCTGTCACTAGACATCACTGAAAAAAGCCTGGCTCTGTCCTTCTGACACTCGCCCTTAACGTATTTGTAAACATTGATAAGATCACCCCTCAGTCTCCTTTTCTCCAAGCTAAAGAGACCCAGCTCCCTCAGCCTTTCCTCATAAGGGAGATGTTCCACTCCCTTCATCATCTTTGTGGCTCTGCGCTGGACTCTTCCAAGCAGTTCCCTGTTCTTCTTGAAATGAGGGGCCCAGAACTGGACACAGTATTCCAGATGCGGCCTCACCAAGGCAGAATAGAGGGGGAGGAGAACCTCCTTTGACCTACTAACCTTTTCTAATACACCCCAGGATGACATTGGCCTTCTTCGCTACAAGGGCACATTGCTGGCTCATGGTCATCTTCCTGTCCACCAGGACTCCCAGGTCCCTTTCACCTACACTGCTCTCCAGCAGGTCAGCCCCTAGCCTGTACATGGGGTTTTTCTTCCCCAGATGCAAGACTCTATACTTGCCCTTGTTGAATTTCACAGGTTTCTCCCTGCCCAACTCTCCAGCCTGTCTAGGTCTTGATGAATGGCAGCACAGCCTTCTGGTGTGTCAGCCACTCCTCTCAGTTTAGTGTCATCAGCAAACTTGCTGACAGTGCACTCTGGTCCCTCATCCAGGTCATTGAATGGTGCCAACCTCTGAGGGACTCCACTAGTCACAGACCTCCAACTAGATTCTGCCCCAATGCCCAAAACTCTCTGACTTCTTCCTTTCAAGCAGTTCATGATCCACCTCACTACCTGATCATCAAGACCACACTTCTTCAGTTTATCTATGAGGATGCTGTGGGAGACAATGTCAAATGCTTTACTGAAATCAAGACAAACCACATCTACTGCCCTACCATCATCTATCCACCTAGTTACTTCCTCATAGAAGGCTATAGGGTTGGTCAAACTTGACCTTCCCTTGGGAAAACCATGTTGACTGCAATATGGCTAAATATATTCTTACCTTCTTTTTTTGAGTGATGATGCACACTATCCTTGGTTCAGTGCTATTTTTTTTAACTTCTAAATCTTAATTAATACTTTGGTTTATATACATATAAATAAGAAAGTTTAAGTATATATTTGTCATGTCTGCAGTAAACTAACCAGGCAAGGGAATGAGGCGGAGCAAGAGAGCCCCCTTGGCTTTACTGCAAACTTCTGGCTCTGCTCAAAACCAGAAGAGAAGTGTACCAGAGATGGAAAAGTGGAATAATATCCATTGAGAATTACAAGGATATTACCAAGGCATGTGATGATGCAACTAGAAAAAAAAAAGAAAAGAAAAGAAAAAGGATTCTTCAGATACTTAAACAACAAGCAGAAATAGAAGGAGAATATTGGCCCACTGTTAAACAGAAGTAAACTAGTCAACAACAACACTGAAAAGGCAGAGGTTCTCAGCACTTTCTTCACCTTTGTCTTTACCAGCACTGTTGGGCCTCAAGCTGTGGGAACAAAAATTCAGGTTGATGAACACAGACCTTCACAGTCACTGAAGGAAGAGCTGGTGTGTGAACTATCACAGGACCTTGACCACTACAAATTAATGGGCCCAGATGCCATTCATCTGAGGGTGTTAAGATAACAGGCTGATGTTGAGAGGCCACTCTCCATAATCTTCAAGAAGTCATGGAGCTCATGAGAAGTCCCAGAAAACTGGAAGAAGGCTAATGTAACCCCCAGTTACAAGAAGGCTTCAAAGAAGGATCCAGGAAATTACAGGCCCATCAGCATTACTTCAATCCCTGATAAAACTATGTATCGAATCCTGAGGACTGTTACAAGTTAAACGTAGCAGGTGGCTGGGACAAGCCAACATAGATTCACTAAGGGCAACTTGTGCTTGACAAACCTGATTGCTTCCTACAACAAACTAACTTACTTAGTTGATGTTGGGATCAGGTGTGCCCTGATGATGTTTGCAGATGACACCAAGTTGTGTGGGGAAGTACACACTTCAGAAGGGAGAGCTGCCTTGCAGGAAGACCTGGAAAGGCTGGAAGAGTGGGCTAACAAGAACCCTATGAAGTTGACCAAAGACAAATGTAAGGTCTTGCACCTTACACATAAACATAATCCAGGAGTGCAGCACAGATTGGGATCCACCTGGCTGGAGAGCAGTTCTTTGAAAAGGGACCTGTGGATCCTGGTTCACAAGAAGTTCAATATGAGTGAATAGTGCACTGCAGCATCAAAAAAAGCCAATAGGATGCTGAGTTGTATCAACAAGGGTAGGGCATCACCAGCAGAAATAAAGAAGTCATCATCCCACTCAGCACTTGTCAGGGCACACCTGAAATACTGTGTTCAGTCTGGTCAGTGCTATACAAAAGAGATGTGGACAGGCTGGAGTGGCCAGAGAAAGGCCACAAAGATGATCTAAGGACTGGGAAGCCTGCTGTACAAGGAAAGGCTGAGAAAATTGGCTTGTTCAGCCTGGAGAAAAGAAGGCTTTGGGGAGACTTTATTGCCATGTTCCAGTACTCCAAGGGTAGCTAACATGAAGGTGGACATTCCCTTTTTACAAGAGGTCACATGGAAAAGATTAGGGGTAATGATAGTGCAAGTTTCTCACAGGAAGAACCTGACTGGACAACGTAAGAAAATTGTTCAATATGAGAACAGTCAGACATTGGAATAATCTCCCCAGGGAAGTGGTGGATTTCCCAACACTGGTCACTTTTAAGACTCAGCTTGACAAGGTGCTGGGCCATCTCATCTAAACCGTGTTCCTACCTAGAAAGGTTGAACCAGATGACCCTTGAGGTCCCTTCCAACCTGGCATTCTATGAAACTAATTAAAAAATACTGTAAGAGTGAAAACCAGCTAAAGACTATGTGAAAAAAGTCCTGATAGTACACTGGAAAGGACAAGGAAATAGCAGATTGAAGATAAGATGCAGAAGAATGACACTTCACCTTTTGAAAGAGGATTTAAATGTATGCCCACATATACCATCAATACATATCTTAAGCTGAGTTGCAATGCAGTTACTTTGGGCTGATTTTCCAAAGTCTTCCTGGCAACACTCTGAAGACCTACTTTTTAGCAGGAGCCAGAAAATGAAACATTCATTCTTACTATTCAGACACCCCAATGATTTATTATAAAAACTTAATGTAAATATAAAAACTTTTCATCCTCTTATGCTGTACTTTCTCTAGCAAGTCTGTGCAATTCCTGACCAGTGAAGCATAAATTTTATTCAATATCAAAAGAAAACTAAGTATAGATGTGGGAAGTAAGGTGGGTGTAAGCAGCTTTGAAGTCAGCATAGGAAGCATATTGCTAGGAGTAAAGAGGGGGAAAATGGACCGTGCAAGGAATCTTTAGGAAGAAATTTGCAGAACTTACTGTATAAACTGTAAAAATTCCTCAGAATTAAGAATAAATAAAAAAGAAATCTGTGTCCTAGAAGACATGGCAATCAAATCATGTGACAGACCCATATGCAACTCCAAATCTGTCCTCATAACTGTCTGTGTCTCACAAAAGACTCACACATGTAACTATTGGAAAGAGTATCTTATACAATTTGGCATACAAGTTCTATGATTAGCAGCTGAAGAGGGGGAGGAGGCAGAGAGGAAACATAATAAATCAACTGACACTTATCAACTATTTAAATTGTTTAAAATATCTGAAATAATGGTTTGATGATGCTATATATTCTTCTGAATTTGGAAAATATATGCAAGTAGTATTTTGGTTCATAGGAACAATTAAAAAAAAATAATATTTTTTTTTTTTACTGTGCTATTTTAAAACATGTGCCTTTGAACAAGGGAGTCCAGCCAGCTACCAAGTGGCATACTGACAAGATGAGAAACAAATTCAGGAAAATATGATTCAGAAGGGCACAGGTCTGGTTTTAAAGCAAACCATTCTTCTTCACCTCTGCAAAGTGAAATCCATGCATTAGTCAAAAGCTCCAATACAGGTAGTCTATATTTCGGCAGAAAAAAAACCACTGGCAATATTTCTTCCTTTTTTTCCTCTTAGGTTGCTGGTTTTCCATGCATCACCCATGTTAATTATTAGGTAGACAGAAGAGCTGTTCAACCAGTTCAGTTCCCCGATTCTTGAACAGATTGTTTGAGACATAATATGAATACTAATTAACGACAAAATATCTGTCAGTGTTTTGAAATACAGACCAAGATAGCACTTTCTTAAAGTCTCCTGGGTAGTTCTGATACAATTAGCCCCACTGGTCATAAGGAAGGTCAAAAAAAATCTCTGAAGAATTTGAGCAAAATTGGCACCACTTTTGGCTCAGATTCAGTGGGAATTTTTTCTGTGTTCCTAAAAAAATAATTAAAAAAATCCCTCTGTTACTAACATACTTGTTTGGATCTTAAGATACAATTAAGTGTTCCTGACTTGCCACATTGTTATGGAAGTGTGGATGCAAGGGGAAAAG